ACCCAGTCCAAGTGACCACTGGCCTCACATCTCACATCTACTACTTTTTCTCCCTTATACCACAAACTACAGGATACAGTTTTCATATTTAAAAAACAAGAAAAGGGACTGTGGGTGTAGCTCAGTAGTGGATCACTTACCTAGCATGTGTGAGGCCCTTGATTCAATCCCCAGCACCACAAAAACAAATACAAACCGAGAAAAAAGATCTCCCATAGCACCAAGTGAAAGAAAAGAGAAGGTCTGATGTTCCCTTGGGGTCTGTGTTCGGGCATTAAGTGAGTGGGGTTCAGGGGTCACTGCCCACATTCTGCTAAAATGAAGAGGACCTAGTGGAGATTTTTCCTAAGAGTGTCAGGGACTCTCATTCTCAGCAAAAAGCCAGTTAGAGCAGGTTTGTGTGAGTGACCTTGACCTCATTTGCCACGGAAGGGTCTCATTAAGTTCTAATGGTGGACATGATCATCTCCAGAAAACTAACCTTTAATGAAGCACCATGGATTGTAAGCCCCTCATCGTTCTTGGGGGTCTTGTCTGAGCATCTGCATATACCTGTGTTCTGGGTATTTATTTATATTGCCAAGGTAAATAAACAAGAGGTACAAAAAAAATTGTGTGCTTTTCTCCTAGAATTTATCATATGTCCCTTTTTAGTTTCTAAGCCCAGCAAGAAACTCTAAGAGGGTAGAAGAGAAGTTTTACCTACCCTACTGGGTTTAAGAAAAAGAGTAGTTTCCAGTTTGGGCAATGGGGAAGACAGTGATGTCTTAAGCTGAGATGGGAAGTATTTCAAGTATGGAGAATGAGGGGTTCCACTGTAGACAAACTACCTGTGAAGTATCTAGACAGAGATGTTGAGTTGACAGTTGAGCATGTGGGTCTGGTGCTCCAAGAGATGGTCTGACTAGAGATACAAATTCTGGAATGGTTTGTAGGTTAAGAAACCGAAGCCATGAGAATGGGCAGGTTTGCCTACGAAGTCTGTATAGGGTGAGAGGGCCTAACACAGACCCCTGAAGCATTCAAATCTTAGAGCAGCTGGCAGAGGGGCAAAGGAAATGGATACAGAACAAAGCAAAAGCAGAAAAACCAGGAGACTGTCATCAGAGAAGCCAGAGGAAGACAATGAAGTGACCAAGAGGAAGGAGGAAACATGGTGGGATGAAGGAAGCCTCAAAGTCAGTAAGATAAGGAGGACAAATCAGCACCAGTGGCTCACTCCTGTAACCGTAACTACTCATAGGACAGCGATCAGGAGGAGGATTGTGGTTCAAAACCAGACCCAGCGAATAGTTTGCAAGATACTATGAAAAAACCCATTATCGAAAAGGGCTGGTGCAGTGGCTAAATGGTAAGAGTGCTTGCCTAGCAAGCACGAGACCCTAAGTTCAAACCTCAGTATTGCCAAATAAATAAAAAAGACAAAAGGCCAAAAGCAACCAGAACAAAATAAAAGACACAGACAAGGAGGGCTGAAGGAATTCAGAAAAAGAATACACTTCCTCTGGACTAGGTATCAGTGGGACCTGTGCCCTGGCTTTTTGACGAAAATGCTAGCCTTCAAATCTGATTGAACATGAAATAGATCAAGAAACAGGGCAATGAAAAAGAAATAACCTCCCATTCTGGGGATAAAGCTTATTGTAACCTAATTCCACTCACCACCTAAACAATTGGATAATGGTTGACAGTAGGGTGACATCCAGGTTGCTGGATGGTGAGATTAAGTAGGTCAGCCAGAAACAGAAAAGGAAATAAAACACCCTAACAGGTGTCATCACAGCGCTTCAATGTAGCCTTGGTATGGATGAGTAGAAACCACATTAACAGATGCATTAGCTTGGTGAACAACGGTCAGAAAAGAGATGTTTCTTTTAGGGGGGGAATAGGACTCTGGGCAAATTAAATGCTAAGTTTATGAGCCAGAGAGCCACGCATCACAGATTCTAAATGCTGACTCTAGATCCACATTTTTCACATAAATATCATCTTTATGTATTCTCTGTGACAAGGTCCTACATTTTGACTTACACAAATCCATTGCTCAAGTACAAGACTTGGTTTGGCAGCATGTTATGTGAAAAAAAAGTTAGTTAAATAACCACAACATTTAGCATGATCAGTGTCATGTGGCTGTTAAAGAATATAAACATGACTTTAGTCTATTTTATTAAAAGTATCCAGATAATAAAAATAATAGCCCTACTGCATTCTAGACAGAATCTTTTTTTTGGGGGGGGGTGGTCAGCACTAGAGTTTGAACTGAGGGTATCATGCTTGCTAGGAAGGCGCTCTACCACTTGAGCCTCTCCACCAGCCCTGTATTCTTAAATTATCAGAATAAATCTAGAGTACTGTCCTCACTTTAAAAAGGTCAAATTTTAAGAGTAATATCTTACCCATCCCTTTCTTTGCATTCCCACTAACAGATTCTTTCATCTTATGCCTGGCATGGTAGATGATTTCCAAAGATGGTGTAGGTTGCTGGCAGAGTGGCTCAAGCAGTAAGAGCACCTGCCTAGCAAGTGTGAGGCCCTGAGTTCAAACCCCAGTGCCACCAAAAACGAAAAAAAAAGCCATGCTCGACTGGAGGTGTGGCTCAAATGATAGGGTGCCTACCTGAAAGCACAAAAACCCTGAGTTCAAACCCCAGTTCCACCAAAAGAAAATTTAGAATGTGTCCCAAAAATAACCACTCATTTTAGCAGGGTGTCAGTGTAATCCCAGCAGGGTGCTAGCTGTAATCCTAGCTACTCAGGAGGTAGAGATCAATAGGATTGTGTTTCAAAGCCAGCCTGGGCAAACAGATCATGAGACCCTATCCTGAAAAAACCCATTACAAAAAAGGGCCAGTGGAGTGGCTCAAGGTGTAGGCCCTGAGTTCAAACTTCAGTACCACAAAAACAAAACAAAAAACCAAAGATGGCCTAGGCTGAGGGTTAGCTCAGTTGTAAAGAACTTGCCTAGCATGCATAGGTCTTGCGTTTGATCCCCTGGAAACCAAAGATGGTTCAAGAACCTCTCCTATGGAGCATGCCTTTAGCAGTGTCACTTTCCCACTCTTTTTAACAAAAGATGGAATCTATTTCTCCTCCTGGCAAATACAGTCTGGCCCTGTGTCTTACTCTGACCAGCAAGAAATGATAGGTTTGATTTACAGATCTAGACCTTATGGAGCTTCACAGCATCTATTTTTACCTTCTTTGTTGTCAGCTGCCAAGTCAAGAATCTGGAGCTAGACTACTGACTGATGAGAGACCAACATGAATACAGAGTCATGTAGAGGAGAAAGGAAGGGCCCAACAACAGCCCTTAATACACAGGTATTAATCTTAATCTTCCAATCCTGGTCAAGCTGATAGTGGTAATGTTCTTTATCTATGTGACTCTCAAATATGGTAGTCACTAGCCAAATACATCTTTGAGATGATGCTACAGCATCTGAAGGACTTCATTTTTAATGCCATTTGTTTTTAACTAAACTTTAAATAGTTATTGAGTAGAAAATAGGACAGCTGAAATTTACAAATTTACCTTAGCACCTGCCTTTCCTGGAGCTGTAAGTATGTAAACAGTGTCTAGAGATGGTTGGTACAGAAGAATATCTGTAAACTAATACTAAAAAAAAAAAAAAAGACTTCTTGCAACATCACCCAAAGGGAGTGAGTGACCCATTCTAACTTCATTTCATATGTACACAATATTAGAATGGGAAAAAGATTATTTCCAGGCAATGGGATGTACCACGAGTCCCACATCTAGTCTAGAAAAGTCCTAAATAGAAGATAAACCTCCAAAAACTGTTTCCCTTGCCTGCTGAAAAACAAAATTTTAATAAATTCTAGATTTACTTTCTCAGGGGAGGTGGAGGAGGCAGAAAGGAAATTTGAGAGAGTGCCTACTATGTGTGGTAGGCTTAATCACATTTATTAATGCATGAAATTCTCTTAATTATTTTTCTTAGACCAGGCAAATAGAAGCTCAGAGAGGATGTAATTTGCCTAAGGACTTAGTGTCAGGGATAAAACCCCAAACCAGGCCACAGGATTCCCAATAACACTGTCTTTCCAATACACTAGATGGCTTTTCCTTGTCAAGGATAAAAATTTGTGAGACCTGGTGTGATGGTGCATGCCTGGGCTAAATGGCTAGACTCTGCAGAGAAGGACAGAAGCGGGGGGGGGGGGGGGGGGGGGGCGACAGACGAGGAAAAAGGAGACAGAGGGATTTTCCATGATCTGGTCACCTAATACCTTAACTCTTTATCAGACAGATCTCATCTCTCCTGCCTTCCCTTATTCTGTCCTTCCTTTTCTAGTTCCACCCATCATCCAAAGCCTAATTTAAATCCTGTTTTCCTTCGTCGTAATCCTAATTAACTTCTCTCTCCTCTGAATTTTTACGTCATTCATAATGAGTACACATAATGTTCTTTTAAACTGTAATCTTGAGCACCGTCTGTCCTGTATGTTTGGGGAGTGGTAATCCTCCCAAATTCCCCGTGATCCTCCTTGGAGTCCTGAAAAGGAACTTCTGAAATGGACAATCACCTAAGCTCAAAAGACTTCTCGATTTAAATTAAGCCCCAAACTTGAGTGTTTTTTACCCTTTGCTCAGTCTACGGTGCACTAATTAATCCAGAAAGACCGAGCGACGAATCCAAACAGCAACTCTGCCACGTAACACTCCCCCCGCCCCCACCGACTCCACGCCCAACCTGCTAGTTGCCGATTGGGCGTGGCCCAGTGAGCGTGGCCGACTGGGCGTGGCGTGCGTGGGCGGGGGCGTGCCTCAGAAGTGGAACTTACGGGTTGCGTCAAACTCGATAGTTTCCGGTAATCCTCGACAATTTCCGGCAACGAGCTCCTCCTACACCGATTCACCTCGGGTACTTCCGATATCCTTCGGATATTTCCGTCAGGTTCCCGCTTTAGCTCTTTCTACTTCGAGTATTTCCGTGTCCCTCTCGGAGGTGTTCGGCAATCGCTCGGCCTCCCCCATCCCCCGGTAACGGTCGCTGGTGAGTTTAAATGAGCCGGGGCTGGCCGGGCCGGAGCCGCTACGGGGGGGTGCCTGAGGCACTGCAGAAAGTGAGCCTGAGTCTCTAGGATGACGGTGCTGCAGGAACCCGTCCAGGTAACGATAACGCCTTTCTTCTGAGGCTTGGCTCGGAGCCTCGGTCGGCAGGGCCACTTCGCGGCCTTCTGCGGCCTAGGCCCGGCCGCTTCTCCCGCGTCTCTTCCTGCGGGTCGTGTGGGTCTTCGGTCAGTCCCGAGGCCTTGCCCGCACCCCTTAGCCGTATTATCCCTGTACCCCGAGTGTGCGCGGGGCTCGTTTCCCGTCAGCGCCCATGGTCCCTGCTGTTAGTCCAGGGCCTGGCTGGGCTCGGCCCGGGCCGAGAGATGGGGCCCAGGTGCCCCGCCGCTATCGACGACCCGGGAGCACTTTGAACCGAGCTGGGGCGCCCTTCATGTCGGTGGGGCATGTTTACGGGGTTCCTGTTTTTGTTTTATGCGGAGGTATTAACGCTCATTATCACTCATTTCTATCTGGGTAGCATACTTCGTAGCCCACGTTGCCGTTCTCGCTCCGTGGGTTTCCCGCTGGGTGACGAGGCCCTGCGCCGAGGTGCAAGCCCTTATTCGAGGACAAGGAGTGGCAAGGGCATTTCTGGGGTCCTCCCCTCGCTTGTGATGGGGAGCAGGAGTGTCTAATTGTGCATGTTCATGAGGCATTCAGGAAATGAAAGGCAAATCATGGATTTTTCCGTCCGTTTTTATCTATTTGCCACACCATGGTAGGCTTTGCAAAGCACAGTATTGGGTCGTCAGGGAAAAAACCCTATTGAATTTTGGGTGTGTGCTGCAGTGCGAAGTCATTTCGCCCCCTGCCATTGAAGAAACTGACTATTTTGTCCCTTGGCGATGGACCAGGTCTGGGAGACTTTCATCCTAACTCTGTAATCTTTTTGACTTGATTCAGAAGAGTTGCCTGCCATCACTGTGTCATGAGCTTTGCTTTGAAGTTTTAAAGCACACCAGTTTTAGAATTTTCTTCCAGTTGCCTGTGGTATCAGGCAGTAAACATTTTAATATATCGCTACTTTCGCATTTCCTTAATTTTTCTTTGCAGCATGGAATACTCATTTCTTCTAGTTTGGCTTCGTCTCCAGCTGTTTACATGTAACAGCTATTAGCGTTTGAATTAACAGAATGCAGGAAATTTACCATTTGTAAATTGTATCAGTTCTTCCAAAGGTGTTTCTGCCCAGATTTTCTTACTAGTACAGAGTCCCTTGTAAAGTTTTTTTGAGGTCTCACATGAAATTAAATGATTGAGGAGATAACTCAGGTTGTTTAATTTCTAGTTCATATTCTTGGAGCTTTGTCTTAGTGATTCTTTTTCCTTTCTGGTTCCAAAAAGCTTCTAGAGTGATAAAGTAGTTGTATAGCATATAGCCACTATTTAATAGTAATTTAGCCTACGTAAAAGCATGGAAAAGAGTAGAAATTGTAGTCTATTTTAGATATATCCATTAAGTTTCCTATTTTTCCTTTTCTTAGCAATAATACACTTAATGTTTTTAAAGCTAAAAAGTCAAATTTGTCTCCCCCTTCATACTGTCTTTGTCCACTAGATCTTAGGATGATAGTAAGAAGTTTTAGAATATGACTAGGTTGCCATTTATAGAATAAGAAGACTCTCCAGCCAGTTGTGGTGATGCACATCTGTAATCCAAGCACTTGGAAAACTAAGACAGGAGGATTACAAATTCAAGGCCAGTCTGGGCTACATAGCATAACCCTGACTCCAAAAACCAGGAAAAAAGAATAAGAAGAAAGGATCTCAACGAGTGGGAGGAGCAAGCAATTTTGGCTACAGTTATAAAGATCAACTGATCAGGAGTAGTGCTGAAAATGGGAAAGAATTATTAAGAAAGAGAATAAAAACAGGAAGATAAGACAATTGCAAAAAAAAATATGACTGATGTGTTTGAAGAGGAATGAGAGTAAATTGGAAAATCACTTCCTTTCTTGGAAAACCTCAGGGTTCATGGTATTACTAGGCATAAGAAAAAGTTGACAGAAAAAAATGAGCAACTGTTTTTGTTTTCTGCTTTTTTTTTCTTTGAAGTTTTCACGTGGAATAGTCAGTCAGATGTGCATAAATATAAGCCCCTCCCCAAATTACCTTTCATGGAAAAGTATTACTTTATATTATATTTATATTATAATAATTATAATAAATATAAGTAATATTTATATTTATATTATTTGAGTCTTTACAAAAATCTTTCATATTATGAGACAAAAGTTCTGTCACTTGTTTTTAATAGCAACTGTTTGGAGAACACACACTAACAAATGACTTAAGTCAGTGCTAATTTTGATGTTCATAAAAGTCATCTGATAAATTTTTTTTCAGTACTAGGGATTGAACTCAGGGCCTATAACTTGCTACACAAGCCCCTCCAATCCTATTTTTTTATTTATTTTGCTTCAGTTATTTTTTGGATAGGGTTGTTCACATTTTGCCTTGGACCCAGTTCTCCTACCTATATCTCCCCATAGCTGGAATTACAATTGTGAAACACTATGCCTAGCTTATTTCCTGAGATGTGGTCTCCTAACTTTTTGCCTGGACTGGCCACAAACCAAGATCGTCTGGATCTCCACCTCCCGAGTACCTGGGGTTATAGGCATGAGCCATCACACCTGACCTAAAATTATTATTATTATTAATTTAAAGAGGCAGCCGGGCATGGTAGCACAAACTTGTAATCACAGCACTCCAGAGGTTGAGACAGGAGGATTGAGAGTTTGAGACCAGCGTAAGGTATATAGTGAGACCCTGTCTCAAAAAAACAAAAAAGAGGCAAACATTTTATATAGATTTATCAATTATTCCTGGGAGTAAGATTTCACAGAAGTGTTGGATAAAGTTGTAAAAATATCCTTTTAAAAATCACTTTGATAAGCAATATAGTAACTGAGTACTATGTCCACAACATCATTTTAGAGCTCATTGGATAGGAAAGAAATACTTCTGTCTTGGGATTAGATGTCCATGGATGATGTCACGGGTTAACTCAAAAAATACCGTATTTTGTTGCTGGGAGCATGGCTCATAGTGGTAGAATGATTGCCTAGCAAGTGCAAGGCCCTGAATTCAAATCCAGGTACCACACACACACACACACACACAGAGTACCATATTTTGGCTACTATGTGAGAAATGTTATGGGGACTTGGGATAAAAGTAAAAACAATAGCCTTAAAGGTGAAGTTAATCTAGACTAATGTACTAGTGAACTAGGAGAGAAATAGATAAATTCAAGATGTTATTTAGAGGAGGAAATTCAAGAAATAGGTGGGAGGTAGAACCAATAAGTCAGGGAAATTGATTTGACGGGAGGGGATGAAGAATGGCTGCCTGGATTTCATTTTGGTGGTGCCATTTGAGAAATGAAGAATCCTTTTCTGTCCCTCGGGGTCTGGGCATATTTGAAGGAAGGCAATTAAGAATTCTGTTTTGAACAAATTAAGTTGGAGATATTTGTGAGACTACTAAGTAGAAATATGGAGCTATAACTTGTAATCTTAGGAGAGCTCTGGTCTTGCTGGGAAGATAATGTTTAGCAAGAAAAATTGAATAATGTTACAGGTAAGGATGTATTACACAGATAATAAAGGAATTCAGGAGAGAGATCCCTTCTAGGCCAAAAAAAATGGGAAAAGTTTCTTGAAGGAGTAAAATTTCAAGCCTAGGAAGATGGAAAAGATAATAAGGGAGAGAAAGAATTTTCTTGGTTTGGAATGGCGTGAGCAAAAAGCCCAAAGATGAGAATGTCATTTAAGGAGAAGAAAACAGTAAAATATTGTATTCTTGGCTAGAATGGAAATTGAAAATGGGAAAAGGAAGTTATCTCTAGCCAGACAGAATCAGGTCATAGGGGAGCTGAGCAGTTTAGATTTAATGTGTTGTGTTTGGCATCGAAGCATTATTTTTTTAATAAAAGAGGGTTTTTGTTTGTTTGTTTTATTTCATTTTCAGTGCTAGGGATCGAACCCAGGGCCTTGCATATGCTAGGCAAGCCCTATACCATTGAGCTAATCCTCCCAAATCTCCAGTCCTTGATTTTTTTTTTTTTTTTTTTTTTTTGAGGCAGGGTCTTGCTATGTAGCTCAGACTGGGCTTGAACTTGCTATGTAGCCAGAATGCTTCAAACTCTGTCCTCCTGCCTCTGCCTCCTGAATGCTGAGATTACAGACCACACCCTGTTGCAGAAGAAGTATTGAACAGAAGAATTATGTAATGAAAGCACTGCTAGGGGATTATTAATCTGGTGTTATTGGCAAGGAGGGAAGAGGCAAGGGTTAGAGATGTACAAACTATAGAGTAACCCAGCTACATGGTAATATAGACCAGGGTTTCTTTATTTTGGCATTGTTGATATTTTGGGCCAGCTAATACTTTGGGGGTAGAAGGGAGATGGACTGAGAGGGTGTGCATTAGAGTATTTTGCAGCATTCCTGGTGTTTACCCCCCCTTCATTGGTGACAACCAAAAGTGCTCCCTCCCGGAGTAAGAGCCAAACATATAGACCTAAACTAAATTAGATTCTAGAAATTATTCCATAGTGGTTTGGCCTGGGTATGGGGCTATTTCCTATTTGTTTTTCTTTGTACCTTCTTATATTATCTAAAGGTTTTGTTCATTGCTTTTATGGTCTTTGAAAGGAAGGCAGCTATTTTATTTTTTTGACAAAAAATAAAAAGACAAAACAGGATTTATAGTAGTCATATTTAAGTATGAGTACAATTTACAGATGTTTGTTTACATAAAATCATGTCTAAGAATAGCTAGCAGGTAAGGAATTTTGCAGATTTGTGCTGTTGGGTCATCTTTTAAATTAATATATCAGTGAGACTTCCCTTAAATATTTTGTCAGAGGATGAGAGGGAAGGAATGTTGCTCTATTGGCTTCATAACTTTCTTTTAGCAGCATTTCATGCATCTGGCTTTAATTTGTAGAACTCTGGAAGTAGTGCAATGTGCAATTTTTTTTTTTTTTTAGGGGAAGGCCCACACCATCAAGTTGGCTAGAGGTAGATGAGTAACTAGGGAGCTGAGTT